TTACAGAAGAACCCGTCCAGAAGACCTATACAATTTTTTTCTTTTTGGTTTTTTACCTGGATTACTGAGATGCATCAGGTCAGTTTTAATAAGTTTTGTCATGAATCATCATTTTGTCATGAAAAAACAACTCTAGCAGGACTGTCTCAGAAGATGTGAGCAAATCTGTGTAACACCAACACAAAGCAGAGCCTGAACATCCCTCCTAAAGGTCCAGCTGGATGTGTAGACAGAATAAAGGGCTTGACCCTGTAAGGCTGAAGACACTTACTGCACAACCCAGTGTTTACTGGTGGTGAAGTCGTACTTGGGCGAGTAGATGAAGGGAACCCTGAAGTAGAACAGCAGGTAGATGACCAGGGGCCCGGTATATTCTGTAAGAAAAACCTGTAGACAAACAAACATAAACAAGTTTTAGACCCCAGGCCTTGCTTAAAAGAAAATAATCGCCTAGAAACATTTTTTCACTGAGCAGCAGAATCTCAATGAATTCTGAGTGTTTGGAACTAAGCGACAAACAAGGTGTCCTTCATAACAAACAAAAACAGCTTATTTTAACAGAATTTTCTCGTTCACATCCGCCCACCTCAACATTTATAATTTAATCTCCTGGAGTATACTTTTAAAATTATGATTCTGACAACTTTTTAATATGTATTATTTACCATCAGTGTAGTTTTGAGAACTGCACATGTGCCTCGAGTGTTTTCTGTCAGAAAGTGGCTTAAACACAGCTACAGCACTCTGGAGACACGTTAGAGATGCTCAAAAGTCAGACGCAAAAGTCGAAGGACATTCTAAAAACTCACTCATGTACAGTTCACCAACTAAACTTAGCATAAAAAGTAAGTAAATTTGTGTTTGGTAGATTAATTTGTTGTAACGAGGCTTCTTGGTAATAAATCTTACACCAGGCACCTGATTTGCAGCCCCTGGGGGAACAAGAAGCTCAAATCAAGTGTCGGCAGCAACAGCAGAATAAGATGTTTGGCAGAGAAGATTTGGCAGATTTTCATGTGCGCTACCCACATATTCAGCTCTACTGCTCATCCCACTGAAGGGAAATTTATTCTAACACTGATTTTTTAATGCACTACATATTATTGTTTTTACTTAGATATCCAGGTTATTTTTGATAATCTAGTTGTATAATTACCCATTACCTGTGCCATGGTTAATCTGTGATTAATTGATGTGCGCTGTCTTGAATGATTCGTGTCATAAGTCATCTTAAAACAGAATGTACTTTTAAATGACAAGATAAGTTAACATATGCCGTATCACAAACACTACAGATTAGGGATGCGTGATATATCGGCATTGACATCTGTATTAGGGCTGCCACAAACGATTACTTTTATAAATCGATTAATCACCAATTATTTTTTCGATTAGTCGACTAATCTGATCAAACGTTAATTGAATATAAAACATAGAGCTTATCGCGCCAGAATGCAGCTGCTATCATAACCATGGTTAGATTTTAGCTATATGCTAACTAAAAATAATTGCTGTGGAAGGTWAGTTCTGCTCTGCAGATATTACACAGGTTTCTCTTTCATTTTCTTAAAATGATCCCACACTTTGAGCTCTGTTGTCAGGTAGCCATGATACCAGAGCCTGTCTGTATAATGTCTTGTGACGTCCACGGCCTACCCCAGTTACCACTACTGTGCATGTGTGTCAAGGACAGAAAGGCAGACGTGGCAGTGGAAGGTGTCAAAGCAGTTTGGAGAGAAAAACAAAGTAAAGAACAAAAAAAATACGATTAATCGATTATTAAATTAGTCATTGATTATTTTAATTATCGATTAGTCGTCGACTAATCGTGGCAGCCCTAATCTGTATCAGCCCGACATGTAAAATGGGGCCGATATTAACATCCAATATTGATTTTCCACTTTTTAGCTTTTTGTTTTGTTAGGTGAAACATTTGGTTGAGTAGTATTTGTTTGATCATGATAGTGATATTGGCGCTGCACAGCCAGGAATAACTGAAGTAGAGCCATGTCAGAGGTCAGGTTGTTTATTTACTATATTGAAAAAAGACAAGTGTGTTTGAGCGTATACGAAAATAAATAATTTGTGTGTTTGTGTATTATCGGTAAATATCGGTTATCGGCCATAACACCAATAATAATATTGGATATCAAATTTTAGTTTTTTGTTCTTTACTTTGTTTTTCTCTCCAAACTGCTTTGACACCTTCCACTGCCACATCTACCTTTCTGTCCTTGACACACATGCACAGTAGTGGTAACTGGGGTAGGCCGTGGACGTCACAAGACATTATTCAGACAGGCTCTGGTATCATGGCTACCTGACAACAGAGCTCAAAGTGTGGGATCATTTTAAGAAAATGAAAGAGAAACCTGTGTAATATCTGCAAAGCAGAACTTGCCTTCACAGCAGTTATTTGTTAGCATATAGCTAAAATTCAAATTCAATTCAATTCAAAAATACTTTATTGATCCCAGAGGGAAATTAGGTAAAGAGGGAAATTAGGAAATTAGGTATTAGGCTGCATTCTGGCACGATAAGCTGTATGTTTTATATTCAATTAACGTATGATCTGATTAGTCGACTAATCGAATAAATAATCGGTGATTAATCGATTATAAAAATAATCGTTTGTGGCAGCCCTATCCCTACTACAGATCAACATTTAACAATCTGTCCTATCTAGTAGGGGTGCACCAAAAAAATTGTTTTACATCAGAATCGTGATTCTCATTTACAAAGATTCAGAATCAATTTAAAAAGTCCCAAAATCGAATTTTGATCCAAAGGTTGTCAACCTCCATTTTGTAACAACTTAGGACGTCCTGACGTCACATGGAGCTGGTTCTGGAACATATGAATGTGCAGAAAGCACCAAAACAAAGAGGAAACTACAAAACTGGAGGAAAGAGAGATTCAACTGACCCTGCCTTCTTTGAATGCAAAGATTTGGGCTCATTTTGTTTTTTACTGAATGAGTCTGAGTTTGACATGAGCTTCACTGGGTGCAAAATGTGCAAAAATGAAGATAAAGCACTTTAGGAACACGACAAATGGGCTCACATTGAGTTTGGAATGAAAAAAAAAAATCGATTTTGAAACGAATCGTGACTCCAAATATCTAAATCGAATCGTGAGAGAGTAAAAGATTCCCACCCCTACTATCTAGAAATCATTATTTCTATAAAAGAGCCCAGTCACTTGATAGGAAAAGTCCTCCCAATAGATAAGACGTATGGCCCCTTAAGGAAGGGGCTGGGCTCAGAAGAAATYGTTTAAATATGTGCTGTGATTCATGATTCGTTACCAAAATATCCTGAGACTGAATAAAGGAATGTATTTTGTTTCAGCTGGAGGTACTCTATAGCTTTATTCTTTGCAACTAAATGTTCAAGTCTACTTCTGAATTTGTCTCCTGGTTTATGTCTCACTCTCCAGTTAAAGTTTTCCTACACGACAAATGCATGTTCCTTAAAAATGTGGCACCATTTCAAAGAGAAATTAACAGGTTTTTCAACAGATATTTAAGATTTAATGTCAAGAAGTATTGTTACAATAAAAAAAAACAATCTACCAAACACTAATATCCTTACATTTTGTGCTGAGTATAGCTGCAGCACAGTGCGATGCCACTCTAAGTGTTATCGTTGATCAGACACTTGTAAACACAAGTATCGGTCACAAAAAACCACATCCAAAGTGAAGATATTAAGCCATCAGTTTCAGACCARTGTGGACGGTCTACGGCACATTTGTCTCTGGTTTGATCTCTATGAGACGTCCTCCTGTTGATTTAATCGCAGACAATGAGAAGATATTGCCCACACCAACATGGGTTTAATGTTTGACATTGAACTGCAGAACAGTGAGAATTTAGTTTGCTGTTGACAACTGTGATGAGATCACAAGGTGATAGTGCTGCCAAAATAGCTAAATTTGCACCTAAGTTGTATTCCTTTGCAGCCTGGTGATTTTAATTTACACTGATTCACTTTAGACTGGCTTTATTCAGATTAGTATTTTTATGTTGTGTGAATGAATCGTCAAAGAGGAAAAACTTTTTTATTGAAAATCTACATGTGGGCTAGGTCTCAGGTATGTCTTGAACAGATGAAGCAACTTTAACTGTAACATTTCTGTGCAGCGTTTTAACCTCAAAGTCACAGGGAGTGTTTTGTAACACAAACACCTTCAATGCACAGTGGGAAATCAGTTTAGATGTGCTTGATCCCACTTGTGCGCTCATGTGTTTGAGCTTGTCAGAGCTGTTGGACCTGATTGTCTCAGCACATGGTGTCTCTCCGTGTGGGCATGCCTGTGCCTTGTACTCACTGTGACCCAGCTGATCTGAGCGCCCAGGTCTCTGAAGTAGAAGGTAGCTGTGGTTCCTACAGGGAGATGCTGCAGAACATCTTCGTCCTTCAGAGATTTCCCCTCTGAAATAAATGCGTAACCCAATAGACCACATTAAAAATACTGCACCAGCTTCAGTTTGTTTGAATAATAAATTAACACCATTACTCAGACTTACTGGGGTCAAGGCGAATTGACTGTCTGGCTGGGTACCACTGAGGATCTAAACATAAATGACTTACAGTTAGAACATAAATGTCTACTTGAATTATTATTATTTTTAAATCTTGAGATGATTTCTAGGAGACACAGAGAGATAGTCCTTACGACTCTTGTGGAACATAGACTTGATTTCTCCGATCGTGGCATTTGGTTCGACCTACAAATGACACAGAAGTAAACAAAAAGAAACACAGCCTTGCAAACAAAGGAGCAAATATAAAAGTCCTGTGCCATTCATGTTGGAGATTAGAGGTAAATATAGCTCTGGCTGTGTCCACACACCCCTATGGACATGAGCTATTTAACAACTGGTACAAGGCTTTTCAAGAACCCAGACACTCACATAAACACCACCAAAATACACACACAGTCTGACTATTGCTTCTTTAAAAGCACGCCAACMAAACTGAAACACAAGGAGCACACACAATGCCGTTAAAAATACAGAAAACCTTCTCGTGAAAATATTGGAGAGAAGGATTAAAGTGATTCTCAAAAATCTTTTTTCTTCAGATATGTACATGGTGTTTGTATTCACAGCAGCTGTAAATACATTCAGAGGGTAGTTTCCAATTTAAGACAGCATTTGAACCAAAAAAATTGGCTGCTGTAATAATCAGGCCTTTGTTGTTAATCCTTCAAGGACCTCTTGGTATTTCCAACAGGATGACATCCTTAAAACAGAATAGACCATTTTGTAGTTTTCTGTGAGCATTGCATTGTGGGTAGGGGTCAGATGTTTTTCTGTCTGCGTCTGCAACCTTTACAATAAAGAGCCGTCTCTGTTTCTTGGATCACAGATAAAATACGTCTGGAGCCGCTGAACGTGATACCAACTGGTGGCATGTGGGCCATTTCAAATTTGTTATGGCCAGTGAGAGTAATATTATAAAGCTAAAAGTGTACAACAAAACTAAAGAAAACACCATGTTCATGACCCTCTATGAACAAGAGCTAATCAAGCCTATTGTTAGACTATGGCCCTCTTTTGCATGTGACTAACCTGTTTGTCCACCATGTGGAGGCAGTGCTTTTAAGACTGAGTTCACCTGAAACTCATCAGACTGAAGAAGTCTCTTGGAGGAGGGACGAAGCGTTTCACTAAAGAAGAACCCATCCAGAGGACCTACTTGTTTTTTTCTTTTTGATTTTTTTTCTACCTGGATTACTGAGATGCATCAGGACACCATGTTCATGTAAACATGAAAAAAATTATACCAAATGTTATAAAAATTAAAACACTAAACTATAAAGGCATACGTTTTTTATACTATTTTATCAACATTTCTTTTCAGAAAGTTTTCTTAAAAGTATTCCAAAATAATTCTGGTGGATTTGATAGAAGGATCACTCAGTAGGGCTGGAAGTTGGATTGGACAAGTGGCCAACATGCTACTAGCATTATCTAATCAACCCATTTTACTCTTCCTTTTTTAGTAGTATCGATCACATTTTGCAAACAAATTGACAGTAAAATTGTTAAAGCTCTCCTTTTCTGTTGTGGGTACATTAAATAAACAAACAAAAAAAAAACCCAATATGAATCTTGTGTTAGTTTTTGTTAAAGCTAACAAAGTTTCTGACAAGAGACCAAACAGCCACATTAGGCCCCAGAGTTGCAGGTTGCAGCCCTGTGGTATTAGCCCTGATGACTGTGACCACTTTTTTTTTCATTTATCTGATGCTTTTTGCAAATTCTGGCAGAAAAATCATTGGACGACATGAAATGTTTAAGAGTCAATTAGGCATATTGGCAAAAAAGKTTATCAAGATTAATTTGGGCATTTAGCCCATAACAAACAATATGATGATTAACTGATGCCAATTGCACTTGTATGTACAGTAGCTGATGATATGACCTTGCTGTCTTTAGTTTTCCTCTAACTCCAGTTTATGCCAATGTTTAAGGTGATTTTCAAGTTTTAACTTTCAAGTTTTAGCGTTAGTTGKTTTGTGCTGCCTTTCACCATTGGGCTCACATTCATACCTGATAGATCGATGAACTGAGCAAGCCACAAGATATTAAAACTATTAGATTATTTTAGGTTCTACTGGTCCCCACTACATATTTACTAAATGACCCAGAAATTAATTACGGCCTCTGTCCATGTGTATAACAATCTCAACTGTGTCAAGAAAAATGCCCCAAAACAGGTTCGAAATTTTTTTTTAGCTTAAATATATTTATGAAAAATCTTATCTTTGATCTTAAAGGAAAGTTTAACACAAACCAGTTTAGCGCAAATACACTGGGTCTGTATAAAGACACAGTTACTTCACACAAGTGCATTTGTTACTACAAAATGATGTAATGGAAAAACACTTTAGGTCCAATGGTGATACCTTCATTTTGAACTAAACTTTTCCATTTTGGACATCAGAAGCTCTGGATCTGGGTCAGGAAATCTGGTGCTACAGAACCATGTACTTTTAACTGGGTCAGGGAAAAGAAAAACTTATGCTCAAGTTGACCTGAATCCCTTCTATGGTGCATTTTTTATCATGGAGGAAGGTAAAGGCTAGGGAACCAATCCTGCATGCCTGAGGTAGTCACAGTACAGAACCAGCAAATACAGTATGTGTCTGAAATGCTGAATGCAGCAAATGCAAGTTTGTTGTGTCTCTGAGCAATTGAATTTAGAGACATAATTTGGGACATTTCTAATAACTCCTAAATACTTTAATATCACCAGCTGTTAAAAATCAGTGATCAATGACTTTAACAGCAGCTTGTGATATTAAACATCAGTTTTTGGGGAAAATTAGACAAAATCAGTTCCAGGTTTTTGTCTCTCTTCACAGGACTTTGTTTTATTTCTAACTCAGCTCTGTTAGCCTAATTTAGGAAACAAATACCCTGAAGGATGTTCTGTCTAGAATCAAATCTATATCTGTCATGTCTTTGAATTTGCATCTTCAAAACTGTAGATGTTGTCCCCATGGAAGCGCTAAACTGACATATGATCCTGTAAGGACAGCATCTTCTACTGCATAGTCCTGAAGTTTAGTCTGGCCGACACCAAGGACAATGTAATTTAACTGTATATATAAAAAGGCCCCATAACATACTGTATATGAAATTCTTAGAATGCAATACAAGTAAACAAAAATAATAAACAATTTAAAAACAAAAATAGCCAAATCCATTGCAGTATTATACAAAGTAAGGGACTTATTTAATGATAAAGCACTGTTTATATTATATAATGCAATAATTGTTCCACGCTTGATTTAATGTGTTGAAGTCTGGGGTGAAGCATGCAAAACAATCACAAATCCTATTTTTATTTTACAGAAAAGAGCAATCAGAATTATTACCAGAAAACATTACAGTCACCCTTCGAATATATTATTTTTTAAATTGAAATTATTAAAATTTTATGAGTTGGTTGATTATATCTTGCAGATTGTGTATATGGCTCATATTTTTTTACCTTTAAACATTCAGTTATATTTTATTAAGAGTGAAAATTTATATAATCTTAAGGGACTTGAGATGTTAAAACCTAAAATTCGAAAAAATTTGAAGGATCGATGCACTTCAGTTCGAGGAATAAGAATGTGGAATAATCTGGAAAGTGAATATAAACATGTCGGTTCAATGTGTTTAAGAGAATGATCAAAATAAGTTTGTTAAAGAAATATGAAATTGTATAATGC